AACAGATTTAGCTCAACTAACCTTTCCTCGTATGACATTCCTCTAAGACCAGGAATCATTCTTGTGGCCCTACGCTGCACCTTTTCTAAGGCCGCAATGTCATTTTTAAGATATGGTGACCAAACCTGCACACAATATTCTAGGTAAGGTCTCACCAAGGAATTGTATAATCTTAGCATTACCTCCCTGGTCATGTCACTATGAATGTTTCTATTTATTTAAACATATTATATTACATAATGTATTACCTAACATCCTGCACAACTGTTGTATTTTTAATTTATGACGACATTCTTTACGTGCTAATGTGTACTTCAGGGTAATGCTACTTGCTACTTTGGACTAGGGGGGTTCTTTCTGTAGTTATTTTTATTACCACGAGGTGGCAAAATAACTTCTAATAAGATTACGTTATAAATACGAGGGTTTAAAAACATCACATTTAAATATTTCAAATGGAATTAAATTCTAATCAATTCATATACTTGGTGTACGTGCAGCTTTTAACAGTACAGCTTAATATTTCAATATGATTGGAATAATATTTAATATTGAAATACTTAATATTTCAATATGACATTTGAATGCATAACCTAACTATTATTTTGTGTACCATAGTGGATCTTCTCATAAGTAACACTGAGTGTCCGCTCCAAAACTTGCTGGCTATAATGACTTCAGGGCTCAAACACAGGAATGTCCCAAGCACTCTTCCTACATTAAAAATAAATTCCCTCACCTGTTGCCAAAACTTTATATCACCTTCTACCTGAATGAACTTTGTTTTGCAAAGGGTGCTGACCTTTTGGGCGACTGCAAAGGAAACCAAACCTGGACTAGCACAATTTGCCTGCAAATACTGTGCAATAGCAGCTTTCTCTGTACCCGGTGAGAGAATCTTCAGTGTAGTAGGAGTAGCTCCTGAAGTTTCAGGCCAGGATGTTGCAATCTGAATGAAAAATCCGTTGAAGATCTTTTGTTTATTAAATGTAACAATACTGAACAATGTGTTAT